GAGAGACGCTGAGATGAGAACCGATTCTTTGCCAGGTGGGAAAATATATTAGTAAAAACAAAACAAAACAGGAAGCGTTTAAAAAATAAATACTAAGCTACACATGTTAAGTTAAAACAATTCAGCAATTTTAACCTTTTATTTTCTGTGCCAGTCTTGAATTCAGCTTTAGTCATTAAACTTGGTCATAATAAAATGTCATTATCCCTTAAATTAGCCATTGGTGCAGAACATAAATGTTCCAATCGTGGAACAATATTCGAGTAAAAGTTTTAAACATTGGCTAACATATCTTTGTAAAATCTCTTCTTCAACATGCAAAGAAGACAGTTATAAAAATTTATTATTTTTATTAAAGCAAATTTAAACGAAGCTGGAAAAGAAAACGTAGCTAGTGAGCTAACATGCTAATGTAATCTGTTTTATGGAGATGGAGAAGATGGGGTTTTTTTACATGCTAAATATTTAGTCCTTGCTCTATTGTCACATCACAAATGCCAGAAGGCAGTTTTTTCCCATTATTTTGGGTTGGCTGGTTAGGATAATTGTTGTTTATATTAAAGAAAATGTAATTCAAGCTGGGGGAAAAAAAAGAACTTCTGTTGCTAGCGAGCTAACATGCTAATTAAATTGCACACTAGAGGTTAGTGTTTTGTGGAGTTGGGGAATATGTTGTTTGCATGCTAAATGTTTAGTACTTGCTCTGCCAGAAGACATTGTTGTAGGTTGGCTAGTTGTTCTTCTTTAACCCAAAGCAATACTTTTATTTGTACATTTTTAGCCAACATGTGTAGCTCCAAGTAAACTTTATGAAAGCCATTTGAGGAACAGAATTTGAATCACATCTAGACAAAACTTCCAAGTTTTCATTTTGACAGCTTTTTAGCTTTTAGTCTCCATCCAACATTCTCATCTTATTCATTAAACAAAATGTCACCATTTTTATGTCCGAACTTTTTTTTTTTTTTTTTTCTTAACCCCACAGCATTTTGATTAGTGGTTAGTTTGAGTGCTCGCAAATGTTCCCAGCCCAGGGATTTATAGAAGTTAAAATTGGCAACTATGTTCAATATCTATTACATCTCTGAAAAAGTTTGATGCTTTTCCAGGGATTCTTCAGATGTCAACTTTCATATTCAAACAGCTTGTGGAGAAGGGAGAAGATGAGACTTTGTTGTTTAGGTTTAGAGAAACTACAGAGATACAAACAAGCATCTGCTGGATTCATAGCTCACCTCACTGGCCCTGAAAATGTGCCAAAAGTCTGTTTGTCCACCAAGGTTGTCGCTGCATTCATCAGACCCGATAGTTAATGATGGTTGGACATTTTCCCGTTGAAAACAAGAGACAGATGTTAGGGGCTGATGTTTCTCCCTTGTGCATAAAATGACTTTAATTAATGTTCTCGACTCTGTCCAAGGTTAAATATCCAAATTTTATTTCAATTTTCATTTTGAATTTTTTTTAACAAGTTGTACAAACAGAAACGTCTGAATAGTTGAGAATTTACACCCGAAGAATATTTTCTTCTACATCCCTGAGAGAGGTAATGTATTCCCTATGAGAGCCTTATGTCAGACAGGTTCACAAGCTATGTATCTTTAGGATAAAAAAAAAGCTGATAAGTGTTGCTTATACTTAGAACAATCTCTTTCTAGGGTTCTCATGCTCATAAAATTGGGTACAAAGCGTAGCTTGCAATGCCACAAGTGTTGCCGCCGTTCCGGGCCATCCGCATGTATCCGCCTTCACCCCAGCTGCTTCCCCAACTAGGAAAAAAAAAGGAGAAAAATCAGTAAAACATCAAGGCGTATCATTTTTTTAAAAAGTGACACCAAGTTTTCCCCTGAAAACCTGCTAAGCCCGGTGGTTGGACACTCGGCAGTCATTCATCCAGGGATTCTTCATGTTTTTGAGTTAAAAAATGTTTAAAGTTGATAGGAAATTTGAAAATATCACTTGATAATTATGTGTTATTGAAAGATTAGAAGATTAATACCTGAACACGAACAATAAAGTCTTAAAAAATGCAAAAAAAAAAAAAAAAGAAATGCTAAGCCTGGGGAAGGCACAAGTAAAGTCTGGTGGCCCGCCAGGCTTATAATACATTGGGACACATTTTAATTTACATAAAAAGTGTCATACCTGTTTTTGAGGATCCAGTAGTCTTGTCCTTCCTCAGAGCCGTAGCCGACCAGCAGCACTGCATGGCTCAGGTGGTTGGAGTTACAGCTGGGCTCGTTGTAAATTCCTGCAGAGAAATTCAAAGGTAAGGCTTTATGTAAAAAAAAAAACTCCCTGCCTTCTCTGCTTTGAATCATCATGAATGATTAGATTTACATCTTACAAAACACGTCATTAGCAGTAAATAGTAAGGGGGTTACAATTGCAAAGTTATTTCATCGATAACCTGTGGAGTTTTATCAGATAAGAACATCATCCAAAACTTCAGTATTTCAGAAATTCTATTCCAGAAGTCAAATCCATACAGTAAAATATAAAGGTTCATTACACACACAGTAATATATTATAAGCATTTATCTCTGATCATTTTAATGAAGGCTTTCAGCTAAAATGAAACCAAACTTTTGTTCACACTTTTTCCTTCTACTTAACTTTCCATTAATAAGCTGAAATACAGGACTCAGCGTTTTTGAACAATGGCCTTTTTTGTTCTTCCTTCTTATAGTGGACACAAGTGACTGTCACAATGTTTCTGCTTCCAAACTTATTCTGCTCTTGGTCTTACGTAATGCTTTAATAGCTTGAATTTAAAATTTTCATAATCATAATTAACAGAAGCAAACACAATATATCCCCCCACGTGCGTTAAATCCATACATGTTTTGGTTATTGGAACTGAGTAACTGAACTAAAATGACTTTTCATGGTGTTTTGATTTATTTAGAAGTGTGTCTGTTCATTGTTTTCTCACAATTTCTAGCCTGGAATATGACACTAGATTTTAGCAACCAAAACAAACCTGACCTTTTGCTATTTCTTGAAGATACTTCGCTCTAAATGCGCAGCGATTTTCATAAATAAGCACAGCTTTATGTGCAAAAAAAAAAAAAAAAACGTGGTAAAAACAAACATTTACCTGTTGATTTTGGACAGAAATCTCTTAATTTCTAAATCAAGCTCAAATTGCTCGCAATCAGTTGCTTGTTTAAAAATCACACAAATAAGAAGCAGCACAAAACAGTAATTTTGCTGTTTGAAATAAATTTTGCTCTTAACTGACACAGGAGGAAAAATATCCGTCTCTGTATCTGCAGATTGTTTATATTCTGCTGCTGCTGGTGTTAGACAGGTGCAATGCCCAGGGGGGTTTATAGAAGTTAGTCTCTGCCAACTGCTGTAGCTAGAAACTGATGCAAGAAGGATAGTTATGCTGCTTAAAATTCCAGGACAAACATGCGTTTGATCAAATCAAGTAACAAATTTCATAATGACTAATTCATGTGTAAACAGAGCAGATAACCTGAGCTGTAGAAGAGGAAGCTTGCATGGTCAGCATCCACAGCTACTGTAATTGGCCCGATGGTTGCCACGGCGTCGGCCAGTGCCTGCTCGTCTCCTTTGGGAATGAACCTGTAGTCTCTGATATGAGCCACTGCAAGCCTGCTGTCGTAGAAACAGGGCTGTGAGTCCTGTGGAGACAAACGAAAGGCCCTGGATGTCGAATCATTCTCAGATTGAGCCTGCAGGTCTTCAGACCGGGCCTCACCACGGAGGTGTACGGGTAGGTGTCTGTCGCCTGCAGACCGTTGCTGATCACGTAGTCGTAGGCATTGGCCATCCAGGCGCCACTGCAACCGTAGGTGCCATAAGATTTGGAGCAATCCACCAGGTTCTGCTCGCTCAAAGACACCAGCTGACCCGATTTCTTGTAGAGTTGTCCCTCTATCGCCCCTGTTGTGCTGAAAGCCCAGCACGAGCCGCAGTAGCCCTGAGAAGGCAAGCAACAGATTGTGACTCTGGTCACAAAAAACGTCGGACTATCACATGTTTTCTCACCTGATAGTCCGGTAGACTCGGTTTGACTGGGGACAAACATTTCAACATTTGTTACATTCTCAGCTGGTGCGGTTCGCTTTCACACTGCACTGTGTCAAACGATGCAAACTATTTGAAAAATCTGTGCTCCTCCTCGCCTGTGGGGGGCGCTGCACCAAGAACTACTGAAGGAAACAACACAAAAACCTTTGCGAAATGTAAATATAAATGGAGTAGTGTCAGATTTTAGCGGTTGTAGGATTTCTCTTTTGTCTTTGGTAAAAGACCACCAGCATTTACCCAGAATGCCTTGCGCTTTAGTTCACTTCCTGCATTTGGAGCGGTCCACATCCACATATGCATTCAAACCGCGCCAGAGTTCAATTGAACCAAGATGTAGCTTTTTAGGCAAACCAGAATTCGCTTTTTTGGTTCACATCAGAGTTCGATTGCGCATTCACATCTCCCCAAACGAGCTGGACTTTATGGACAAGGGTGTGAATGCACCCTTAGTCTGGAGAGGACATGCTGAATTGACTGCACAGGTGTGGTCTTACCTGGTCTTTCACCTCAGTGACATAGCCTTGGCTCCTGTAATCAACAACCGCAGCGTCTAGTTTCTTGGCGTTGTAGCGCAGTCTTCGAGCTGAAACCTCCTTTCCTCTCGGGACAAACTGGGCATTGATCACGGCTCCTTGCAGAGTTTGGTATTCCTCCCTTGTCTACAAGTTGAAAAAAGACATAATTCAGGTTCTGTGAAGTTATTTTCAGCAGTTTGCTCAGCTACCTGTAGCAAACAGAAGTTATACTGCAGTGAGTTTGTGGACAAGTTAATAAATTAAGTTTGGTTCCTCAGCTAAGCAAAGTTTGTGTACACGATGTTGCTTGATGCAGCTGTTTGGCTGAGAAAGCACCAGTAGACTTAACAATGGTCTCTTGCTGAACTGGAGATGTTTAAGGTCAACTTAAAACAGCATTTTATCTCCGTTAGATAAACTAAAACGAGGTCAGTCTTGTGCGAGGAGACAGACTAGAAACTTCTATATCCGGTTTTATTTTGTAGTTATTTCTTGGTGTTTCTGTCAAAAACAAATGTGAGAGCGAAGCAGCACTTCTTACAAGGTCTCCATATTTATTCATGGCCATAGCAAAGGACATCCTCCCCATGAGAAAGCCTTGGTTATGGTCTTCAATCTTGCGCTTGTTGTCCTCCCAGATGGCCCTCCGCTGCATGTCGTCCTGAATAACAAATCAAAGAATAAAAAAAACAAACAAAAAACTTGGACTCTTGATTGTGTTGATGTGCTTTAGCCATCTGTTCGCTCTCACTGATTCGTCGTAGCTTATGCCATGGCTGCTTTTCCAGATCTCCCACTCAGTCAGGACCACCTCGTCCGATTCGGACAGCACCGTCTGCGGGCTGCACAGCAGGACGGAGAGCAGGGCCGCCCTTAGCAGAAAGCTCACCAGCCCAGCTGGGAGGAAAGACAACAAAGAGTCACAACCTCTCGTTGAATTGGGATTTTATGCATCGTATTGTAAAGGTGGTGGCAGGAGTTCATCAGGATCAAAACAACACTACGAACCATTCTGTCTCTTCTCCTGAGCCCTCGTTTTCAGAATTGCATTATTCTCCCTCTTCAGTTTTAAAAGCACACAGCATGGGTGGGGGACATGGACTTAAAATTTGATCATGATATTTTGTGGTGATATCATGATAATGATAAAGGTGACGATAACTATTTGCTGCTTTTTTTAGGTACTGTATCGTTGTGACACAGCAATCATAGCCCTACAAACACAAACAATGCTCTTGGAAAACATTCCCTTTTGTAGTACATGTCTTTAGCACATCACTCACAAAAAGAAGTGTGATTTGTATCACTAAACTGTGCATTTAACTATATTTTCAAATGAATCACCGTCAAATACAATCACATTAATCTCGCAAAAACACTGATAATAAATAAAGAAATAAAACAAAGAATCCTGGGCTGCCTACCTGCACACAGGTGAGTCTGTTTTGTTCCCATGTTCCAACAGCAACTCCAACAGAGTAGCGACTCCAGCTACCAGCCTGCTATTTAAAGCTTTCTGATAAACTACGTGTTCCTGCTCTACTTTTACTCGATCCCTAAATGAACACCTAACAGTAGCATTAGTCAACAAAAATATGTTGTCCTCCAAACCCTCTGCAGTTATCACCTAGAAACAGCTAAAGCTGCAGTATTGTTAATCCCTCAAATACATGTTTGTAGCCGAGCACAACACCCGAAAAAGGGACAATGCGTCTAATCTGATTAAAGTTTGCACCTGAAATGACATCAGCTGCAAACGATTGCATTTGAATAAACATAGAGCTGATTCTGGTGCATTATGTGAGCAACATTTCACTGAGATTTCAGTCTGGACTTTACTTTTTGTAGACTTCATTATTTGAGAAACTCTTTAACATTGTCAGATGGAACTGGGAAGAGTCACAAGATCAGTTTTAGGGGAAAACATCAAGGTTTCAACTGAAGAATTTTAATTCATTTTTAGTTTCAAAGCATTTTTTTATTAGATTTTTGAAAAATTTTAATGTGAAATGCTGACCAAACAATACAAAACAACCGAGGCATACAGCATTCCCACTCACTGGACTTTTTCCACAACTTATAGCCACAGTAAGTTTCAGTGTATTTTGGATTGGATTTTATGTGACAGTGGAGCCTGACTGTGAAGTGGACAGAAAATAACACATCGTGGAACACATTTGTATTCTGCCAGGCAGGGAGTGATTTAATCAGAGAAGCAGCCCAAAGTAACTCAGCTCAGGTAGGAGAAAATATCTAAAAGCAAAATAATAACTGATAGATTTGCAGGTCCCTTATGGGATGAAGTGAGCATGTGGAATAAGGTGTTCTGACCCGATAAGAACAAATTTGGTCCAACATTTGGTCCTACATGCAAACCACACTGCATACCACCCTGAAAACACCATCCCCATCGTGAAACTTTCTGCTGTAGGACTTTATTTTCTTTAACATGGACACGGAAACTTGTTAGATTTTGCAAAAGGACAACTCAAAACGTGTAGCGAGAGCTACAATGGAATGGGTTAGGTCACATTCATGCTCAATAAGGACCTAGTCAAGGTCCAGACTTAAATCTGACATAGAATCTGTGGCACAGCTTGAAAACTGATGGTCGCAGATGATTTCCATCCAGTCTCACTCAATATTATGCAAAGATCTCAGTTTCTAGATCTGCAAAGCTGGTAGAGACGTAACCTTAGAAACTTATTGTTACAGATGGATGTGCTTCTATAAAGTATTGGCAGACTCCCACAACACTCGTAAGATTTTTTAAAACTTTGTCAGATCACTATTACAGATGACTTTGTATTTGTCCTATAAAATACAGTAAAGTTTGTCCTTTTAATGTGACACGTGAAAAGGATGTGTTTAGCCATTGTACCCATTTATAAACTAATACTTTTCACTAGATTTATGACTTGACTTGTGCAATTCTGAAGGAAAATAACAAAAATAAAGTACAAAATTATACTACTGTTTAAAAGTTCAAATACGTCTACCTCGAGTTTGATCGTAATAGTTGGGAGAAGAAGTGGATACTTGATTTCCCCCCACACCCTAGCTGTATTCTGCAGCGCCCTCTGGTGGCGGTGTTTCCTCCTTGCGGGGTCCACTGCAGAGGCTGAGCTCAGCTGACTCGCTCCCGCTGTTATTATGATGTCCGCGACAGGGCAACACCCAAGCACGGTGCGGCAAAACAGGCAAATTACGCGCAGCATCGCGTCTAATGAGTGAGTGCGCATCACTGGAGAGCCATGAGTCACGACTGAGGTCTGCAGGATGTCTTTCAAGGTAAAAACGCAGCTTTCTCCATCCATCTTTGCCCGGACAGCCTGCCTGAAACGGCCTGTATCGTCACAGGACACACGGCAGCAGCTGCTGCTGGTCAAAAGCAGACTGCTGTAAAGTCAGGATTTGTTTAATGACGTGATGTGTTTAAGTATAAAGGAAATAGAGGTTACATTGGACTGATTCAAACAGTGTAGCACATGTCTGGGCACAATAGCTGCATTAAATGGCTCACGATTCTTTGACAAATACATCTCGGGTGTTTATGAACAATCCTCACTGTTCAGAGAATACCGGCGGACAAACAAAACTTCTAAGTTATTCCTCGTTTTATTAATTATACTTTTGTTGGTTTCCTATGAGACAGACGTTATTAATCTCTTTAAGTGGTGGCAATCAATGGTTCTTCACTGAGCTGAACCGGGATGCATCTCTCAGGGTCTGCGCGATGTTTAGAGTTGTTCCCGTTTGTAAAGATACAATACAAAAAAAAAATCTCCATTTGCCTTTGTTGTTTAAACACACTCTGTCCAAATTTGTGTTAAGGTCAAGGACAAGGACTGGACAGAAAATAACCAAAAAGCTGTCCATATATAACAGTTGAAGGACATTCAGAAACCTGACTAGCACTACTTCAACATAGTAAAAGTAAAAAGTAACTGTCCAAGAAATTACTCAAAAAATATCTGGTTAAAAGGCCAGCCAAGTGTTGAATAATGATCAGAATATTTAAAAATGACGTAATCGATCAGGCAAAAATGCAAAGTTATGTCCAAATTCTGGTATTTTAATGACTGAAATGAAAGAAATTAATGCAAATAAAAGATTGAGCAGGTAGAAAAACAAAACTTTAGCAGAAACAAGAAGTTGTGCTTTAGCTGTAGGTGTGTTTGCATCTCATGCATTTTTTTGATTTTCTAATTCTAGTGAAATTATTCACTTTAGGTAGAGTGAGCAGAAGTTTTTCTCAAGAGCAATACTTTATAAAAAAATATTACTCAAGGAAAAGTAAAAAGGACAGCCTAGTGAAACTACTGCTATGGGGTTCTATCTGTGCCAAAAATATGCTCATTTGCGTAATTGAACTCCATAAAAAAGTACCTTTTTCCCCCCAAAAAAGTAAAAGTAACTAAATTTTATGTTGAAGAGTTAGGCTTACCCAAAAGACAAAAGTTTTGGGTTGCCTAGAGACCACTGATCTGTCTTTATGGGTTACTAACCTCTCAGTCACACACAGACACAGCAACCTGTGTAGCATTTACTCTTAGTGGTGACACCTGGTCGCACACCACGGCGGTCCCTGTCTGCTGTCGGAGTGTGTAATGCTATAATGGTGGTTTCAGTATGAGCGGTTGTTGTGTGCATTTACCCCCGCAGAAGGAAACACCCCTGGCTAACGCCGGGTTCTGGGCGGCCAGGAAGGGAAACCTGGCTCTGCTTCAGCTGCTGCTCAACAGCGGACGAGTGGACGCCGACTGCAGAGACAGTGTACGGATGCTGCATGCCCCCCGGCCGTTCAGCCACACGCTTTAACCGTAAACCGCCAGAGACGCAGAGAGCATTGAGCGCTACTTCTGTGGAGCATGTGTTTGTGTTTCTATGTGCATACTTTTATTTTAGTTTGCATATTTTGAATTTATCCGCATCTCAATATTGCAGTTTTCTTATCGCCAAGATTTTTTATGGGGATTGTCTTCTTTATTGCAAATGCATGTTTTTTTTTTATATATATAGCTTTTGTCTTTGTCTTTTCTTTGTAAGAAAAAAAAATACATCCTCACTTATATAACACCTTTAAACACCAAGGTTAAAAAGTATTTTGTATACAAGACAAGCAGACAGTAAAAAACAGAAATGTGAAAAACAAATAATTTGACAAAAAATATTCTTATAGATAATCCCAATGCCTGAATATACAGAATTAAAAGAAATATACACATAATTTATTTCACTGTCTGACTTTTCTTGCGTTAGTTTAGTTAAAAATATCAAACTGCTTAATGCCACAAAATTAGGAGAACAAATATTTCACAGATTTATTTATTAATGTCTTCAAAATCAAAAGTTTACCTACAGAATGACCTCTTCCTCAGCCCATTTGATGATGTCACAGCTTTGAAAACTTCTGATAGGTTATTCGACATATTTGAGTTAATTGGAGGTACACCTGTGGCCACACCCGGAACACGCTGCTATCTTCTTTGGCACGATGGGAAACAAGAAAAATTTGGTCGAGTTTAACTTCAGACAATAAGATAAAAACGCATAAATCAAAAATAAAAGCCAAAGTAGGAAATCCTGGGAACCTCACACGTGACAGGCGCTGAAGAAGGAGCAAAATCTGTACATTGCAGCCATTTTTAATACTAGTGCCAGATAATGAATACATATAACCTTCTGCAGGGTTGACTAATTGTATGTTTTGGGGTTTTTTTTGTTATTGCAGTATGGAACGACAGCGCTGATGGTGGCGTCTTACAGCGGCCATTATGAGTGCGTCAAAGAGCTCATAATGCAAGGAGCAGACATTAATTACCAGAGAGAGGTAGATGTGCTCCAGGACACATTACTCACAATAGTTGTTGACAATAGAGGAATTTTCCTCAATAACTATTATCATCAGGAAACTATTGCTGCTGTTTTCGAAATTCTCCACTCACCTATTCGGCACACAATCAAAAAAAAAAACATGTATATTTCTAGAGTAACACAGTGATTTTTGTTCCTGTAAGTTAAGGTTTTTGTTGTTTAGATTTCAGATCTAACTCTAGCTATAACATCTGTGTAGAATGTGCAGGTCCTTTGGGGAGCCGCTGTGATGTGCTTCGTGAAAAATATTAACTAATAACAATTGTGAAGCAAAAGGAAAAATGTCTTGTAGTGATCAACTTTCACTAAAAAAAATACCAAAGTCTTGAGCTGACTAATAGGGTTGTAGTCCTCCATGTAAACAGCTGTGTCTATTTTTATCCTCAGACAGGTTCGACGGCCTTGTTCTTCGCCTCGCAGCAGGGACACCATGACATCGTGAAGCTGCTGTTTGAGTTCGGCGCCTCCACCGAACTACGGACAAAGGTTCGACGTGAAAAACGCCAGGCGATGGTTCAGCCAGTTCCCAAGAATACATCAGGGCGTTTTTGCGTTCTCCATTTTAAGCTTATGCATAACTTTCATATGTTGTTTTTTTCATGCTTCGCTACCAGGATGGCGGCACAGCTCTCACCGTTGCCTCGCAGTACGGACGCTCGGCAGTGGTGGATGTCCTGTTGAAGAACGGAGCCAACGTTCACGAGAGGCTAAACGTGAGATCTGCATCTACAGGCCTGTCTTTCCTCAGACAGTCACACATGACTGATCTGTTCTGTATTCTGCCTC